CACACCTGGGGACATCAGTAACTGCCCTGAGGCTGCCAGCCTGGCCATTACTGACCAGTGACCCTGGTGCTCACAGAGCGGGTGTTCACCAAAACAACAGGGTTCTGCCCCAGGAGCCTTCCCGTGGCCCTGGCCCATCCCCAGAACACAGGCTGTGCTGCGCAGGGCCCTGTGCCGATCCGGTTGCACCCTGGCACTGCCTCAGATGCCAACCGGCTGGGCAGTGCCACATGGTGTTTGGCCATGGCTGTCCTGGCGCCTTTGGGGCTGCAGGGTGAGGTGCTGGTGCCTGGCCCTGTGCTAGGAGCGGATGCAGCTGCGATAAGGCAGGGAAGGGCAATGGAGCTGCCGGGGTTGGGCCACAGTGCCACCGGCTACTGATAAATACAAATATTAGTTCTGGCCCCATGCAGGATGTGGGCTCCCAGGGAGGTTTCTCTCCATGTGGGCCGGCTCCCAGCCCACATCCATGTCTACAAAGAGGTGGGTCTTATCTCTTTGCAATCCTCAGAGCAAGGGCTGGCAGGTCCTGGGGCACAGGAGCCCCTTTCACAGGGTCTGTGCAGCCTGTGCTGTGGACACCCTCGCACGCTGTGGGGCAGGAGGGATGCAGCACCCTCCCTGGGGTTGGCATCCCACACACAGTCAGGGCTGCACCCGACATTCTCCCATGCCATTTGGAGCTGCCTGTAGCTTTTATTTCGGATGCTGACATCCCACGTTGCTGCTCTTGGGCATTCATGGGAGGCATCTGAAGCTGGGCTGGGTAGGAGCAGCAGCGCTTGGACAGTCAGACAGAGGCTGCTGCTCTGCTGCACCCTTGCCTTCCCAGGGAATTCCCTCTTCCGTGCATGCCAGGGGCTGCATGGCCTCATGTCTCAGCCTGTTTGCGAGCCCAGAGACCCTGCACTGCCCAAACATGGGTCTCCCAGGTGCTCACTGGAGCATCACAGAGGTACATGGCCCAGCTAATGCAGCTATTTAGGTACAGATGGTCCCTGCAGCTGCAAGGGATACAGTGACCATGCTGCAGGCTCTGCTGGGGAGGAGGCTGCTGGAGAGCAGTGTTGTGGGGCTGGAAGGGCAGCTGTGCCCTGCCTAGGGCTGTGCCATTCTCTGGGTCCTGTGCTGGGGACAGCGCAGGGCACAGCCAGGGCCAGGCAGCCCTGCAGCATCCCTCACTGTCCCCTGAGCCGGCCTTGGCACCTCACAGGGCACTGCCATGGAGGGGCTCTGGGTGCCTGGTGTCCTGCTGCTTTCCTGCCTGCTGCTGCCCTCCCCTGTGGGCAGCCAGACCAGACCCAGCCCTGACCGGCGTTTGGAGATGGACCCCACAGAGGCACCGTCCCAGCACCACGCTGCCAGGTGAGGGGATCCCAGGGGAAGGGCGTTTGGCAGTGGGGCCCACGGCAGTCCTGGCACTGCAAAGGGCCTCAGCCCCCCATAGCTCCCCATTGCTCTTTGCTTTCTGCCCTCCACAGGGCCATGCAGGAGCAGCAGGTCAGCAGTGCCCAGGAGATGCCCCTGCAGCGCCGCTGCGTTCACTGCTGTGAGCAGCCCAGCCAGCGCATTTACCACCCCCAGTACCAGCCCCTGCCTCAGATCAACATGACCATCCTGAAAGGTGAGGGCTGGTGGGGAACCCCCCACTGCTGCATCACTGCCCACAGCCAAATCTGCCACCCAGGCATTCCATGCTGCTGGGTACCACCAGCCTGGCCTGGCAGCACCATTGCAGTGCAGAGCTGTGCTCCCAGTGCTGGCCTCGCACGAACTGGGGGCAAGAAGTTTGGTCTGGTGCCCAGGGAGGGGGTTGGGGGATCCCTGCTGCCCTCGTCCCTTTCTGTCACACAAAGGCACTGGGTTTAGGTGTGTTGCTCACCTCTGAACACGCACCCGTCCCTCCTGCTTTGGCCAGGTGAGAAGGGGGACCGTGGTGAGCGAGGCATGCAGGGCAAGTTTGGCAAGACAGGGGTGGCCGGCAGCAGGGGCCACGCAGGGCCCAAGGGACAGAAGGGCAGCATGGGCGCCCCGGGGGAGCGCTGCAAGAGCCACTACGCTGCCTTCTCGGTGGGCCGCAAGAAACCCCTGCACAGCAACGACTACTACCAGACCCTCATCTTCGACACGGAGTTCGTCAACCTCTATGACCACTTCAGCATGTTCACGGGCAAGTTTTACTGCTACGTCCCTGGGATCTACTACTTCAGCCTCAACGTGCACACCTGGAACCAGAAGGAGACATACCTGCACATCATGCGCAATGGGGCGGAGGTGGTGATCCTCTATGCCCAGGTGAGCGACCGCAGCATCATGCAGAGCCAAAGCGTCATGCTAGATCTGCAGGAGCAGGATGAGGTCTGGGTGCGGCTCTACAAGGGTGAGCGTGAGAATGCAGTCTTCAGTGACGAGTACGACACCTACATCACCTTCAGCGGGCACCTCATCAAGTACAGCGGAGACCCCTGAGCGCTCAGTGGCTCCCCGCTCCTCCTGCCCTGGGCAGGTGTCCGAGGAGCCCCTGCCATCCCTCACCCTGGGCACGCCAGCACTGTTAGCTGTTTGCCCATACACGTGCCACTACCCCCAGCAGCCGCACAGTGTGTGAGCATCCCCAGCGCTGCTCCTTGAGGCCCATCAAATGGACCTTGAGGAGTCAGAGGCATTTCCAGCCTCTGCTGCACTTGAGGCCAGGAAGCAGCTGTGCACTGGGTGCGGGCAGGGAGCTCATCCCTTCTTGTCCCTGCTCCGGAGCTGGGTTTGCTGGGACACAGCCTGAGCTGACACCAGCAGAACGGGTTTGACTGCTGGTGCCCTGGAGCAAAGCAGCGCAGACATGTGCACCATGTTCCTCCCTTGTTCCCTTGTACTGTGCCACACTCTGCAGGCATCTAATCCTGGAAGAAGGCAGAGGGTGCTCAGCGCCCAGCAGGGAAGGCAATAAAACCACTAAGGGCCCCTCTTCCTTTTCACAGAGCTGGGTCCCAGCCGCGTGGCCGTCGGGCACCCTCTGAGCTAACACTTCCCCCATGCAGATTGCAGCAGTGCCCCTCCACAAGCCCCATCACAGCTCCTCCCACCGCGGCCTCTGCTTGGTACCAGCACTGCTGGGGGGTGCTGGCTCCCCGGGCAGCCCTGGGTGCGGGGCCTTTGGCCTGAGCCGCTTCCTCTTCAGTTATGTTATCTGCTGCCCAGACTTTGTATTTCTGTAGATGCAAGAGCAGAGTGGGGCCCAGGGCAACATCCTGCCCCCCTCCCTCTGTACAGCTTTAAACATTAAACACCCCATGATTTCCAGTTCTACTCACACTTTCTGTGTGTCCTCTTGCTTTGCGTGCGGAGGCTCCAAGTGGCTCAGGGCAAGTTCCTGCTCCCACAGTGCAGGGGCTCCCTGAGAGTCATGGGCTGTCCTGGTGCTGCTGTGCTGGTGGTGGAGCAGGAAGGGCAGAGCATCCCTGGAGAGCTGGGGTGGCCGGAGCCAGGCTCTGAGGTGCAGCAGCTCTCTGAGGGCTGGGAGCTGAGCACAGTAACAGACCCATGAGCAGGGTGGGCTGGGGGTGATGGTTGGGTTTACCAAGAGTCCAGATGATCTGTGAAGTACCTGGTGATGAGGCAGGTCTGAGGGCAAACTGTGCGTCAGGGGCTGGATCTGTGGGTCTGTGGTTGAGCAGAGCAGAGCTGAAGACCACCATCTTCCTATCACAGCAAGGGAAAGAAGAAATGCTCAGGGCTGAGCTTAAATAGTGCTCCATCCCCAGGGGTGGGTGGTGAGTGGGGTCCAGGTGAGGCTGGTCATTCCATCAAGGGCTGCTGGTGCCTCAGCCCCAGTGCTGCTGTCCCTGTGGGGCTGGCAGAGACCCTGCTCATGGCCCAGCCCCATGGGGGGGGGGGGGCGAAGCCCCACAGCATTAGTAGGCCCCAGGCAGGACCGGTGCTGCTGGTACTGCTGGCACACGCCATGAGAGGAGGGAAAGGCTGCCTCATGGGACGCCCACCAGCACAGGTACCAGCTCTGTTCCAGCTTGTACAGTGGGACTTGCTCTAGGACAAATGTCGCATCCTGGGATACATATCCCATCCCAGGACACACAGTACATCCACAGACACATGATCCTGTTCCAGCACACACAGCCCGTACCGGGACACACGTCCCCTGCCAGCACACACAGCCCGTACCGGGACACACGTCCCCTGCCAGCACACACAGCCCGTACCGGGACACACGTCCCCTGCCAGCACACACAGCCCATAGCAGGACACACGTCCCCTGTCAGCACACACAGCCCGTACCGGGACACACGTCCCCTGCCAGCACACACAGCCCGTACCGGGACACACGTCCCCTGCCAGCACACACAGCCCATAGCAGGACACACGTCCCCTGCCAGCACACACAGCCCGTACCGGGACACACGTCCCCTGCCAGCACACACAGCCCGTACCGGGACACACGTCCCCTGCCAGCACACACAGCCCGTACCGGGACACACGTCCCCTGCCAGCACACACACCCCGTACCGGGACACACGTCCCCTGCCAGCACACACAGCCCATAGCAGGACACACGTCCCCTGTCAGCACACACAGCCCGTACCGGGACACACGTCCCCTGTCAGCACACACAGCCCGTACCGGGACACACGTCCCCTGCCAGCACACACAGCCCGTACCGGGACACACGTCCCCTGCCAGCACACACAGCCCATAGCAGGACACACGTCCCCTGTCAGCACACACACCCCGTACCGGGACACACGTCCCCTGCCAGCACACACAGCCCGTACCGGGACACACGTCCCCTGCCAGCACACACAGCCCGTACCGGGACACACGTCCCCTGCCAGCACACACAGCCCATAGCGGGACACACGTCCCCTGCCAGCACACACAGCCCGTACCGGGACACAAGCCCCATCCCGGGCCACTCGCTCCACCCCTGGACATGGGAGGGCGCTGGGGCCGGGGACGGGCGGAGCTCCTTCGGCCGCGCCTCCGGCAGAGCGGGGCCGGGCGGCGGCGGGCGGCAGCGGAGCGGCGGCAGCGGTAGCGCCATGGCGGAGGCGCAGGACGGGCCCGGGCGGCGCGGCAAGAGGCCGGGGGACGGGGAGGAGGAGCCGGGCGAGGAGGAGCGGGCCGGGCGGCGGCGGCGGAGGTGGGCGGTGGGATCGGGCCCGGGATCGGGCCGGGGATCGGGATCGGGATCGGGGCAGGGACCGAGCTCCGGGCCGGTCTCGGCGGGCGCTGGCCGCGGTGCTGGCCCGGCCCGGCGGTGGGTGGCTCTGGCGCTGTCCGTCCCTCACCTCCTGCCCGGGCAGCTTCCAGCCGGCGGCGGAGTCCCGGGGAGCCACGGTCCTGCACGATACCATCAGCACCCGCCCGCAGCCCCTGCCAGGTGAGGCAGCACCCCCGACCCGCGCTGCGCTGCTGCTGGTGCCGGTACCGAGCCGCCCGGGCAGCGCTTCCCGCTGACCCTGTCCTCTGTCCCCCCCCGCCCCAGCGAGGCACTTTGACACCAAGACAACAGAGCCCGTCAGCTTCTTCTTGTCTGGCCTGGAGGAGCTGCTGTCCTGGCAGCCCGATGGCAACGACGACTTCAACATCTGCGCTGTGCAGCTGGCCAAGCGCCAGCCCCCGCTCCACAGCAAGAGGCCCCGGACACTGGTGTGCCACGACATGCGTGGCGGGTACCTGGAGGACAGGTACATGCTGGGTGGAGGGGACGTGGCAGGGAGGCCCAGCATCTCAAACCTGTTCTATTTCTGCTTGATTTGTTTCCCACGGGCAGGGACGGAGGGGTTTGGGGATGGAGCACCGTGACCTTGCTCAGGCCAGCCCTAGCTGGGGTCTGTGGGGTAACTCAGTGCTACAGCTCTGTACAGCTCCTGGGCTGTGAGTCAGGCTCCTGCCCAGCCCCGCAGCCGTTGCCGGCGTCCTCCTCGCCGTGCCCAACCCTCCTCTTGCTGCCGCTGCAGGTTCATCCAGGGTTCAGCCACACGCAACCCCTACGTCTTCTACCACTGGCGGTACATCGACATCTTCGTCTACTTCAGCCACCGCACTGTCACTATCCCACCCGTGTGCTGGACCAACGCGGCGCACCGGAATGGCGTCCTGGTGCTGGGTGAGGAAGGGCCAGCTGCAGGGCTGGAAGCTGCAGGACCAGGCCTGCGGGAGCCCTGGGCATGCAGTGACTTTGCTGAGGTGCGTGGCTGACGCTGGTCTCACCGTGTCCCCAGGCACGTTCATCACGGAGTGGACGGATGGGGAGAAGCTGTGCGAGTCCTTCCTGGCTGGCGGGGAAGAGGCATTCCGTGCCGTGAGCGAGCAGCTGGCGCGCATTGCCCAGCACTACCGCTTTGATGGCTGGCTGGTCAACATGGAGAACACGCTGAGTGTGAGCTGCGGTCCCCTGCCCATCCCCGGTGCCCGGCTGTCCTCACTGCCCCATGCTGACCTGGCTCTGCTCTCTCCTGCAGGCGGCAGCGGTGAAGAACCTGCCCCCCTTCCTGCGGCACTTGACCGCACAGGTTCACAGTGCCGTGCCTGGGGGCCTGGTGATCTGGTATGACAGTGTCCTGCAGAATGGCACGCTGAAGTGGCAGAATGAGCTGAACCAGGACAATAGGTGAGGCCGGGCCCTGCCCCACCACTTTGTCTGGGTGGAACTGACACTGGGTAGGGGCTGAGCCCACCCCAAACCCAGGGTGCAGCACATGGCCTGCACAGGCCCTGGAGGGGTGGTCTGCGGGAACTTGCACTGACCCTCGTCCACAGGGTGTTCTTTGATGCTTGTGATGGGCTGTTCACCAACTACAACTGGAAGGAAGAGCACCTGGAGCGCACGCGTGCGCTGGCCGGCCCGCGCCAAACTGATGTCTATGTTGGCATCGATGTCTTCGCCCGTGGTGATGTGATCAGTGGTGGCTTTGACACCAACAAGGTGGGTGTGCCGGGACCCTCTGCCTCCCCCAGTGCAGGGCTGCCTGTCCCATGCTGCTCACTGCTTGTCCCTGCAGTCGCTGCGCCTGATCCGCCAGCACGGCCTCTCCGCTGCTGTCTTCGCTCCCGGCTGGGTCTACGAGCACCTGGGCGAGGAAAACTTCCTGCGCAATGAGAACAAGTGAGGGTGGCTCAGAGCGGGAGGGAGGAGAGGGGAGATGGGGCCAGAGCACTCCGGGATGCAGGGCAGTGGGATGGGGCTGCAGGAGACCACAGCTGCTGTCCAGGATGGGCTGGTGAGGCCGTGGTGGGGCAGTGGCCGTAGCTGGGGGTCTCTGCTCTGATCCATGCCTTTCCCTCCAGGTTCTGGGGCTTGCTGGCTGAGTACCTGCTCACACATAGCGTCTGCACTCTGCCCCTCGCCACCTCCTTCAGCCTGGGCATGGGCACCAGCAGGTTCCTGGATGGGAAGGTGGGTGTGGGGTGATTATTTGGCTCCAGCTGTGCACGGGTGGGCTGTGCAGGGGGGTCCCTTCTCCCGACTCCCCACCCAGCCCAGCTCGCCCTGTCCTGCAGGTGGAAGAGGCCGGGCCCTGGTATGACCTGAGTGCACAGGAGATCCAGCCCCTCTACCCGGAGCAGGAAGGCAGGCTGAGCACAAGCTGCTGCCTGCAGGATGCCTGGTGTGGTGGCAGCTCTCTGAGGCTGCAGGGGATCATCCCTGCCGGCGAGGAGCATGTGGCCATCCGGTGAGCTGCGGGTGAAGACCCTCACCACCTTCTCAGTGCTGGGCTGGCATGGCATGTTGCACGCGGTGAGCGTGCTGCAGGGCTCTGCCCGCACTGCCCAGCAGACCTAACCGGATGCATCTTCTCTGTCTCTCTCCTCTCTCTCTCTCTGTCTCTCTCTGGGTGGATTTGGGGTCATCAGCCTTTTCTCTTTGCAGATGCCGGCGCCCCCCAAGCTCTTCCTGACCTTGCTCTACAAGCTGGAGGGGCCGCACACCGAGTTTACTGTTGCGCTGGAGCTCACCACCTGGGACTCGGGGACCTGCTATGAGGGCAATGTCACCTCCCTGCCCGGTGAGGACCCTACCCCTTCCCATGCTCTCTGTAGCGAGCACCCACTGCATGGTGGTGGCATGGGACCACGGGGGCATGGGACCAGCTCAGCCCCTCACCCCCCTGGTCCCACTCCCTCCAATAGAGCCCAGCGGCCGTCATCACCCCCGGTTCCTCTCGGCACCACCGCCCGGCCTCGCCAAGCTGCTTGCCTCCTGCAACAGTGGCTCCCATGGCTGGACCAGCCGGTGAGTGCGCCGCTGGCACCGTGTGCCCATGGGTAGGCATAGGCACCCCAGGGCTCCCCTGGCACCGTGCCTTCTCTGCCCCTTTGCTGTCAGGTGCTATGAGCTGGATCTTCACGACTGCAGCCTGCGCGACCTCTCCCTGCTCGTGTCCCGCCAGCAGCCCAGCCCACAGGAGATGCCCTTCTCCTGCCTCCTCGGGGAGGTCCGGGTGAGTGCCTGCCCTGCTGCTCGCGGAGCTCGCCGGTGCTGCCCCACCTCCGCCTCTCATGGAGCCGCGGTTCCCTCGGCAGGTGCTGGATGCGGCCAGCGTGGCGGCCGCCCCGCCGCAGATACAGAGCCTGTTGGCCTCGCAGCTCTGGTGGCAGGAGGGCCCCACGGCGGAGCAGCTCTCGCTCAGCCTCACCCTGCGCTGGACCTTCCCGCCCGGCCAGGCCAGCTGGTTCCGAGTCTTCAGCCAGGGCGCCCGCTGCCGCCAGGGCCAGACGGCGCCGCAGCTCCTGGGGCTGGCGCACGCCTGCCTGTACCGCGCCGTGGGGCTGGCGGTGCCGCGGCCGGCGGCCGGGCAGTCCTGCCGCCTGGAGCTGCTGGTGGAGCCGGTGCTGCGCAACGAGCTGCCCGTGGACCCGCAGCTCTGGGGGCGGCTGGTGTTGATCTACTCTGCACCAGCCACGGGCACCAGCAGAGACGGGCATTAAAAGCAAACGTGGTGCGGCGCCATGTCTGTGTCTCCTCTGTGCTGGTGGGGTGGCTGTGGGCTCAGCGGGTTGAGGCTGCATCTCATAGAACCGTGGAACGGCTTAGGTCAGAAAGGACCTCGAGATCACGCAGTTCCAACCCCCTGCCGTGGGCAGGGACACCTCACACTAGACCATGTCGCCCGAGGCTCTGTCCAGCCTGGCCTTGAACACTGCCAGGGATGGAGCATTCACCAGTTCCCTGGGCAACCTGTGACAGAGCCTCACCACCCTCGCAGTAAAGAACTTCTTCCTTACATCTACCCTGAACTTCCCATGTTTCAGTTTAAACCCATCACCCCTTGTCCCGTTGCTACAGTCCCTGATGAAGAGTCCCTCCCTGGCATCCTTGTAGGCCAACTGATTCGGTGGCTCCCTCTTCTCCCATCACCATGGCTGGGCTCAGCCCTCACAGCTGGGTGCTTCCCAGGGCCCCCCAAGCTCCTGCCCGGGGACACCTGCCCTGAGATCTCTCCTAGCCCCACATCCCCTCACCTCGGGAGCAGCCTGGTGCAGGTGCGGAGCTGCCAGCAACAGCTCTGCTGCCACGCTCAGCGCTGGGGGCTGCACCATCCGCCATGGCCCTGCCCGCGCCGCCGCTCGGGGCTGGCCTGCAGCTCTCCCTCCATGGCTGCTGCGGAGAAGGAGAGAAAATTTATAGCAGCAATTATTTCCTCACAGTCTGGTGAGCAAGCAATTAGCAGGCAGGGCGCAGGAGCGCGCCACGCAGCGGGGTCACCCATCCCCAGCTCCCCCGAGCACCAGCCCCGGCCCACAAACAATGCTGGCTCCTGGTCAGGAAAATTAATATGTCAGCAGTTAAGATGCTGCTCCGCGGTGGGGACTCGCTCTGACATGAATTATCTGAGGCTTGAAAAACGAAGGGCTCAGCACAGCCAGCGGTGAGCTCCTGCTGTGCCTGCATCCCGCTCCCTGCTCCTTCACTGTGGCAAACCCACCCCAACGGGTTCCCCCCTTTGCCTGCCCAGAGGTGTGCCAGGACAGCCAGATCCGCCGTGCCAGCCATGGCCCTGCGCCAGTCAAAACCTGAGTCGCCCTGGTTGAAGAAAGAAATCTTTATTAATAATTTCAATAATAATAATAATAATCCTTGTAATAATAATAATAATAATACTGTTTATTAGAATGGTCACACCTTTGAAGCATACAGGATGGGCAAGTGCCAGCCTGCTCGCCGGCGGCCGGCGCAGGGGTTGCTGTAAGGAAGAAGCCAGTACAGCGGTGGAAGGAGCTTTGTACAGGGCAGGGGCATGGGGCCGGGGCGGCCGGGGCTATGTACACTGGGAATAGAAAAGGGGGAGCTCGTTGCTGGAGCGTTGGGGTGTCTGCAGACTATAAAGTGAGGTTTGAGGAGTGGTGGTGCCGTGGGGGGCCGAGCGCGAGGCCGGCGGGATGGGGCTGCACCCTGGGTGGGCTCTGACCCAGTGTGCCGGCTGCTGCAGACCGAGCCCGGGGCTCAGGCTGGTCCCCACGGGCGATGCCAGTCTGGCCCTGGGCGATGCAATGGCCGAGACCCCGCTCCGAGGGCTGGCAGGGTCCCACTGGCCTGGGCAGGGATGGGGAGCCAGGAGCACGTCCCGTGCCACGCAGCAGGCAGGAGCGGGAGCAGGGTCGGGGCATTCCTATTGGAGCCCCAGGGGATGGGAGGGGAAGGGGATCACAAGCGAGTTGCAAGAAGCTCCTCTTAACAAAAGTTCCCTTTAAAAGGCAGAGGCTGGTCCCCTGCAACGCCCAGCGCCTCAGCAAAGCGGCTCGGCGCGGGAGCCGAGGCCTCGCACACTCGACACGCTGATGACCGGCAGCTCAGGAAGCACGAGGCTGGATTCCCACCCCAGCACAGTCCCGGAGCCGGGGCTCAAGGAAGACGTGGTGCCAGGCGCCGTGGCCCCTCCGGACACCCCGGCTCGGCCTGTGCCGGCTCCCCCTCCGTGCGACGGGCTCAGGGCGAGAGGGGCCCCTCCGGTGTGTCCGTGCGTCCAACCGTGCTCGCCGCGGGCTCCGCCGGGACTCCTCGCGCGGGGCGTGCGGACATTTGGGGCTTTCACGTGGCTGCTGCCGCTTTGCCTTTTTTTTTTATTATTTTTTATTTTTGTTGCTTTGCTTTTGATTTTTTTTATTTTTCATTTTTTGGGGTGTGTGGGTGGATTTTTTGCCCTTCCTGGTCCCAGAAGGAAACAGCGGCGGTTTCACTACAACAGAAACAGAGAGGCAGGTCTTTCACTGGAGCCGCGCGTGGGCAGCCTGGCCGGGGCCACGCTGATGCCATCCCGGCCCCCCCTAGCCCCACACTGCGCCCCAGCCCGGCTCAGCCCCTGAACGTGCAGCAGCCCCTGCTGGCTCCTCTCTTTCCTATGCCCCTTGGGCTGCCGTAGGCACCGTGCCCCCCGTGCCTGCACGAGCATCCCCTCGGCTTTGCAGGCAGATAAGCCCTCTGCACCCCAGCAAGGGCAGTGCCTGCCCGGGGCTCAGGTCAGGGTGAAGCCACACGAGGACCCCACAACCCCCCAGGCTCTGGGTGCTACCAGGGCCGAGGGCTGGCCCTGCTCCCCATGAACCCCAGGGATGCAGGGACAGGAGCTGCCCCATGTCCCTGCAGGCAGATGATGCAGGAGACCCGGGCAGGCGACAGGGTGGAGCAGCTCGAGGTGACCCTATGGCCTGTGGGCACCGCGGCCCAGGGGAGCCTGGCCGTGCCCCAGCCCGGGCACCCCGTGGTTCCTCCAGAGCCTCGGCCGTGGCTCTGGCTGCCTGGTTTGGTTTGGTGCTAGTGAGCAGTCAGTGTTAGTGGTGGGAGGGGCTGTGTCTGTCTTGCTAGTAGGGAGTGAAGCGGCTGTACCCTCCTCGGTATAGACTAGCCTGCAACATCAAAGATGAAAAAAAAGCCAATCAGTATTTGAGAGAGAGGCAGAGCCCAGTTCTTCCTTTCCTTTCCTTTTCCTTTTGGTTTTCACTTTTTTTTTCTTTTTTTTCCCAAATGACACCAAATCACTTCTGTCCTTGGGATGTGAGGGGCAGGCAGGGCTGAGGGGGTCCGGTGCTGCCCAGGCTCCAGCACGGCTGTGGGTGCTGCCTTGGTGCCGTGCATGGGCAGAGGCTGCAGGGTGCCCCCAGCATGGCAGCACCGTGGCCAGGCTGCTCCCACCTTCAGCGACTGCGGAGCCCTTCCCCATCCCCATCCCCATTCTGCACATCCCATGGGACAGCGGGGCCACTGCCCCTTGCTACCAGCTGCTTGGGTACCAAGGAATGCCGAGGGGTGCTGAGGGGTGCTCGGCAACCTGGCCCCAGCCATGGGGTTAAAAAAAAGGAAGAAAAGGAGTGGTTGGCTTTGAGATCCCACATGTGAGTGGGATTTTTCATCTTTGATGCTGGTTGTGAAGCTAGCAGAGAGCCGTGGGCTGCAGGCACCAGTGCACATGCATGCTCCCTGGCACAGGGATAAGAAAGGGGGTCCTGGTCCCTGGACAAGGCTTCGGGGGCAGCTGGGTCCCCCAGAAGCAATGTTTGTGGGCAGGACAGTGTGGGACTGCCACCAGCTGGGTGTAATGGGAAATGTGGGGTGAAAGGTGGGGCTGGGGGTCATCCTCTCTTGTGGCCCTGCTTGTGCACAGAGCCAGGCAGGGGCTGTGCTGCTCCTGCCACCAGCTCTGGGATCCCCATCCTGCACCCCACATGCAGGGCTGCCCCGCACCCTCTCAGCGCCTGCCCCATGCCCCATGGGCTCCCTGGGCCGCAGCTCGCGCCGCGAGGCAAAGAAAGGCCGCAGGGGCTGCTCTTACCATGGTGCCGATGCTGTATGTGGCGGCGGGGCCGATGGTGTGGTGGTACGGGTCTGCCGCTGCATACACTCTGCCGTAACTAGGAGCAAACACAGCAGCGGGTGTTAGCGACTGGGGTCGGGGTCCCAGTTCCCACTGCAGCCACCCCTGCCTGGCCACTGCTGAGCCTGGGAGACCCCTGGGATCACCCCACTTCTTCCCCCTGGGAGCCGCAGGGTCCCAGTTTGCAGGACACCCTCATCACCCCTGGCTCCATCCTCACCCCACAGGTGAGGTGCTGGAGTAGGAGCAATGCCCGCGGTGCACAGTGCTTACCTGTCGCTGTATGCTGCCGCCGCTGCCGCAGGCTGGGCGTATCTGTAGGCAGCATAACCCCCCTGCAGGAGAGAGACTGCATCAGGGACAGGCAGCACCCTCGGGGGGCTGGGCACCCCCAGATTCTGCCCGGGAGCAGCGGTGGGACCCCAGTGCCACCAGGCACACTCCGGCCTCATTCCCATTCCCCAGGGCCTTTCACAAACATTAACCTTAACAAATTAGTTTCCAGAGGAGAGAACGTCACCTCCTGATGGCTTTAATGAGGTGTCACGTTCGAGAAACCCGTCAGCCGCCCGCCTGAAATATGGCCAACGGCTTCTTAAAGATGGAGGTGAAATGCCGGTGTAAGACAGTGCACCAGCACTCGCTGGGGCTGTAAATCCCTCAGTGCGGGGGCTGGCGGGGGGCTCAGTACCCTGCACGGTACCACCCTGCCTGCCACGTCCTGTCCCCATGCACCCGGACTCCTGCTGCCTTCCCAGGGGCTGGCAGGGGCAGAGCCCTCCCCAGAGCCGCCTGATGCTGCTTGCCCCTGGCCCTGGCCCAGACCCGGCCCGGCAGCACTTACATAGATCTCAGCTCCATAGAACCCGTCCTGATAAACGACCCTGCAAAGGAGGCAGAGGCGTCAGAACCTGGGCGCTGCCACTGGCACAGAGGGATCGGGGGCACGTGGGGGAGCTGCTTCCAGCAGTGCCCACCCGGGCAGAGTGAGAGCACATCCCAGGCAGACACATGGGACAGGCCACAGGGATGGAGGAGCCCAGGGTATCATGGCTGCCGGCAGCAGCCACAGCCTGCCGTGGCTATGCCTAGCACAGTGGCTGTGTGCATGCCAGGAGAGTATCCCATTAAACCAACTGACGCTGCTGGAGTTACGGGCTCCTTTGGGGTGCAGGAGGCTGGTGAGCACATGGGTCACCCCAGGAGGCAGCAGCCTGGGGGGGTTCACAGACCCCGAGGCCAGGCTGGTGCTGATGGAGCTGCTGCCCATTCCTGAAGGGAGAGCCCAGCAGTGCCAGCACTGATGGCAGCAGGGTTAGAGCAGCGGCAGCAAAGGGACCCCGCACCCCGAGGCAGGTGCCTGCCGGCGCCCGGTACTCACGCTCCGTAGGTGGGGATGGGTGGCGGCGGTGGTGCAGCACGGAACGTGTTGTAGACGGCGCGTCCTCGTCCCCGTAAGTGTGCCCCTCGATAGGCCACGGCCGTCCCCGTGGCGGGGTACGGGAACCCCGTTACTGCAGGAGGGAGGGAGGGAACAAATGTGGGCTTCCCGCAGCAGCTCCCCACGGCACATGTCTGGGACCCATGCCCTCACCACGGGGCATCCTGTGCCACAGCCTGACTCTGTACCCTGGGACACGGCCCCATGGGGATGTCGGGGTGAGGGGCTGGGGAACGCTCAGAGCAGTGGTGGGCTCGGACACGGCACAGAGCCAACGTTCAGGTGGATCTGCAGTGGGGTTGGCCCCAACCCACCATTACCTGCGTAGAACTCGGGGCCGTAGACTGCTCCCACCACAGGGTTCAGCTTCCAGCCTGTGGGCAGGGAGAGATGGTGAGGCCGGGGACACCCTCCCCGCAGTGCTCCCTCATCCCCAGCAGGGCTCTGGGGGACCACAGCTCCCACCCCTGTGGCCTCAGGGCCCAGGGTGCTGGGAGGCTGCACCCACCCTGGAGAGGAGCCGCAGCTCCTACGCTCCTCGTGCTGGCCCTTACCATTGGTGTAGGGGTTGGCAACCTTCTTGTTGGTCATGACACGGGCCGTGGCATTGTTCACCTGCAGAGAGAGCGGATGGGGGCTCAGCGCCTGTGGGCAGCGGGACTGGCGAGGCCGCGGTCCGGTCCCGGGCCTGCGCTGCTGCACTTGGCGCGATGGTACTGCTTCGGGTGCTGGAGTGAAGGATGCACGGGGAGACATGGGGCGAGTCTGCCCCAGCTGCCCTGCCTGCTGCAGCACTGCCTGGACCCCCGGCCAGCCCAGGCCTCCTGCACCAAGCACAGGAAGGATGTGTTTGTGCTGCCCTGCTTCCCACCTCCTGGACGCAGCATCCCAGCTTCTGTGCAGCATCCTTCCCTCTCAGGTGCAGGGAGATGGGGACAGCACATGGAGCAGAGAGCTCATATCCTCCTTGCAGAGCTTAGGGTGGTTGCACGGTGGGCACGGGGCTGAGCTGGGGTCCACCAGACCCCTCTGTAACTGGCAAAACCCAGGCAGAGACCTGGCCAGTGCCCCAGCTCTCCCTGCACGTGAAGGCTTGGTTTAGCCAATTGCTCTTTGTGTCAAGTGAGGAGCTCCCTGCGGCGGGCACACATGCTCCTGTGCCACGCTCATGGACACATGCACGCGGCGGGCAATCCTCCCCTGGGTGACACCCAGAGCCACCCCAAAGCATCCCCTGCCCCAGGCAGGGCGCAGGGGACACAAGCACACGCAGGCATGGCACTAGCACACTTATCTGAGCACCTCAATCTTCCGGCCCTCTACGATGGTGCCATTCAGCTTCTCCCGTGCCCGGTCGGCATCTGTGCTAGTTTCAAAAGTTACAAACCCAAAACCCTGTGAGCAGAGGAGAAAAGGAGAAAGAAAGAGACAGAGAGAGACAGAGAGAGGGTGTGGGGACAGAGAGAGAGAGGGTGTGAATCAGGAGAGCTGGCGCAGGAGAGGAGGCTGCCGCAGTGCAGAGGTGGAGAGCCTGGGCTGGGGTCCCTGCAGGGTCCCTGCTGAGGCCCCAGCATCACCCATGAGCTGGGAAAAGAGTCTGGGAGAGGGGCACAGAAAGCAGGGAAGATACAACAGAGACATCCACACACAGAGGGGGTAGAGCGAGCCGAGCCCTCCCCTCCCTCCGGGGTTCGGGGTGCAGCATACACACAGCCCCCCCAGCTGGCACGGGGCAGGGGGATGGGGCTGCCTGAGGTGGGTCCCCCCAGGGTGGGTACCCTGTGCCTGGGTCCCACAGGGCAGGAGAGGAGGGGAGAGCGGGCACAGGAGCCAGGACCCTCCCCGGGCTCACCGTGGCAGCGCTGGCCGCGGGCAGCACCCACCTTGGAGCCCCGCTCATTGAAAATGATCTCCACGTCCAGGATCTTCCCAAATTGCTGCAAGCAGAGAGCAGAGGGTGAGCACTCAGAGCCTCTGGCACAGCAGGGGCAGGGGTCTGCTGCCATGGGGACCAGAGCAGGAGACCAGGCCAGCGGACCCTCGGTGCCATGCAGGGGAGAGCCCCCAACCCTCCCAAGACTTTTCCAGGACTTGACTACCGTCCACAATCTCAGCCTGCACCGCTCTGAATCCTAGTGAGGGCTGGGAAACGGACAAGGGGAGGGCGACAAGGGCTCTGTATCCCCCATCTCCATGCACAGGACTTGATCCAGAAGCCCAGCTGTTTATTGGGGCTCAAATCCTGCATAACAGCAGCCAGCAGTGCCACGAAAGCACTTGGCACGCCTTGGGCTGGCAGGATGGGCCCTTGGGACAGGGACAACGCATGGTGCAGCACTGAGCAGAGAGCAGGGGATGGGGGTAGCTGGATGAGGCTGGACTCACCCCGAACATTTGCCGCAGGTCGGGGTCCCGGAATCGAAAGGGGATGTTGGAGACGTGTAACCTCTTGGGCTGCTGCTTGTCTGTGGTATCTGTGGAGTGTAGCTGCTGGCTGTCTGTCTGTGCCGCCTCATCTGTCTGCTGTGGGATACAGCTGGACGTCAGCTCCAGCCTTGCCAGCTCCACGTCCCCAAAGCAGGGATCAGAACTCTCCTGTGCTTGGCCCCCAGGGACACCCTGGACCCTGTGGTCCCCAAGCTCTGAGCACCCCATGGGTCTCCCTGCAGCCTGGTGAGCTGGGAGGATGCCGGATGGGATCTGCCTGTGGGGAGTCAGGGAACGCCAGCCTGGGAACCAGCCACCAGCCCTGCCTGCACCTCCCCGACTCAGCCAGTGCTGTGAGTGGCAGCAGGGCATCGCCCACCCTGCGAACGGTGCAGAGACCTGGGGGGCTGAGCGCTGGGGGGGGGGAGAAGCAGGGGGTGACCCATAACAGAGAGCATTGGGTGGCCTTACACCGGCCTCTCCTCTAGTCACCCCAGTGGCACTGGTGCCTGGGTGCTGTGACCACGGCACGTTGGGGTTCCGGGGGGGGGGGGATGCCTGTGGTGGGGGTGCCAGACCCGCCCAGGGGCTGCTGTGGTCGGGCTGGGAACGTCTCAGCTCAGCGGTTTCCTGGCTGAGCTGCATTACAACCCCGTAATTGAAGCTATCTGGTGGGAAGGCAGCCAAGCAGGTAGATTACAAGTGATTAGGAATGCTGGGAGGGGCTGCGAGCAGAGAGCCGGCAGACGCGGCACCCAGCCCGGCACCCGAGGGACCACGGCGGGGCTGGCACCACTGCCTTACCGGTACCGGCTGCGTCCCGGCTATGGACTGTGTGCTGGCGTCGGTGCCCGGCTGCTCGGCGTGGCTCTGTGCTGGTGTGTAGAGGGTCATGGCGTGCTCCGGTACTGTGCTTTGCCCCGAGTAGTCCGGCGTGGGGTGCGGGTGCGGCGGCGCGAACTCTGCGGGGATCCCGTTCTGGGGGGGCGGGGGGTACTGGGCCGGGGGGTAGGGCTGAGCCATTGCGTCCGGCGGAGCCGTGGCGTCCTGGTTACCCTGCCAAGACAGCGGCACCGGCCCCTTACCCGCTGCTGTCCCTGGGGTGCCACCTGCCGGGGGGGGTCCTGCTCCCGCAGCCAGCCCAGGCTACCCCAGCCCACGATGCCCCAGCCTTTGGTGTCCTCCCCAAGCCTCGGGCTGTCTCTGTGCCGCAGCAGCTATTGGGTCTCATTGCCGCAGCTGAGCCCCCGTCCTCTCCTGCTCCAGAGTCCTGCCTGCCCGGTGCACTGGGCTCAGGCAGCAGGAGGGCAGAGCCTCCCTCCACAGGGCTTAAGTAGGGGAGCCCACACATCACCCTCTCCTCTGGGAAGGAAACCAGGACAGTCCTTGCTTTGGAGTCCAGCACGAGGACAAGCAAAGCCAGGCCAGGCTGGCAACATCACTCTGGAAGGCTGCAGAGCACTAGCACCCACCGGCAGCAAACCCGATATCCTGGTGATGGTGGTAGCATCAGAGAGGACTAGGGTCGGAGGGAGGGGACCAGGGAGGATGCCGATGACCTCTTGGCAAACACAGGCAGGGATCAATTAACTGCTAATTATTTAATTAGGCCCTTTGCTCTAACACAGCTGACTCGACTGCCCTGGTCAAACAGGGTGAGCTGCACTCATGCCATGGGGTGAGGGCTGCCCATTGCCTGCTGGGGTACAGCGGGGGGGCTGCCAGCCTGTGCCTCACACCCACCATCCATCCATCCTCACAGCAGGCACCCAAGGGCTCCCCTCCCTTGCACACGTGTGTGCTGCACCCGCTGCCACACACGAACACCCTCTGCGGAACACGGCAGCAGCCCCTCGGATGCTTTACTGCCTCCATGGCAGCCTCTCACCCATGAAATACATCTGTGGCTCAGCCTGTGCTGACAAGCTCCTTAATTGTGTGTGTGGCCGATTTATGGAGCACAAGGACATTGGGGGCAGAGGGGGGAGCACTGCCAGGCACCGCTGCAGCCGGCAGGGCCATCGCACCTGCAAGGGAGGCAGCAGAGCCCACACTGGGGCCACGCTGGGGACCACATGTGAACCCAGTGTGAACAACCCTGCTACAGATCTGCAAGTCACTGGCAGACTCCTGCCAGCCCTGTCCGTGCTGACTCAGCTGCTTGGGGACGCGCCAGCCAGATGCTCCTGCCAGCACGGCTGGGGGTGCTGGTGCTGCCGATGCTGTAGGAACCCCATCCCCGGTGCTGCCATGACCCAGCTGTTGTCTGCACCGCGGTGTGAACCCACCTTGCAGGCTGGAGGGTTCCATCCTGCACCCAGCCTGGCCCTGGCGCCTGAGCCTACTCCTGGGAGTGGGCAGACACTGAGCTCCCAGTCACACTCCCGGCGCCTGACCCTAGCCTCCTGCATGGATGGAGCCAGGAGCAGCCTGCAGCGCTCCTGCATGCTCCGCTCTAGGTGGATACTCATCCTCTTTATCACCATAGCCGGGACCAACCACCACAGCAGCAGGAATGGGCACTGATGCCCAGCAGGAAGAGCCAGCAGGCAGGGGGACGCAGATGGGTGCTGGGCAGGGACTGTCCCCACCCACCCAGGCCTTAGTCCCTGCTGGCTCCTTGCCATGCTGCCCCGACAGCCACGCTCAATATCTCTTATTAATTGGGGCTGTCGCAGTGCTTGTCTGCCCAAGTATTATTTCATTCAGGGACCATTAGGTTCCCCTGTTCTGCTGCTTGCTGTCGCTGGGGCTGCTGGTGCTGCAGAGGCACAGAACCATGGCTCCTGCTGCCTCCCTCTGCCGGTGCTGCCCGTCCATCTCCGGGGCTGCTGGGCTGGGTGGCAGGGGTTGCCAGGTATGAGGAGGGGATGGCGACAGGTTTGGCTGTGCAATACCCATTGAAATGACAGGGAACAGGCTGCTGCTCGCTCTGCACCCTGCACTGCCTGTGTCCTCCCCTCCTGCTGAGGATCCCAGGGACAGGGAGCCCCATCCATCCAGCCGCTCCCCAGACCCAGCCCTGGAGTGCGGAGCTGGCAGCACCCTGAGGTCCCCTGTATGGCGTCCCCTATCCCCTGCTCACAGCTCAGCACCACACCACCAGCCCTGCGCAGCGGCTGGCACGGCAGGTAAGGGGTAGATATCATCTTTAGCTGATTAAATGTCCCTCATTAACGAGTTTCTTTAATTAATGAAGTTTTTGTGTTTGCTCCACTTGCTTTCTCCTCACTGCACTCTGCCTCCTCAGCACAATCCAGGCCATTTCCTTTCAAGTCATTTGGCGCGTGGGGCCAGTTCCTGCCGACGCCGCACTTTGGTGATTGTGCCTGTCAGCTTGGGGCTGCCGGCGCCATTCCAACGTTTGCTCCTTCTTAAGAAAACAAGGCACCTGCAGCCCCGTGTCTGAGCAACCGGCAAAGCACAGAGCACCTGCGCTAACGACAGGGCACCCGCTGGCCCCGGCACCCTGCCCTGAGCCAGCACAGCTCACCCTCGATGGGCATCCTGCCGGCACAGGACAAAGGAGCAGGGTGCGACCTCCCCTGGGTTATCAACCACTCATGAGCCACTGTCACCTCCTGCCACCCACCTCTGGCCATAGACAGGCAACGCGGTGGCCCCATGGCCCCCAAGGCAAGCCAGCGAGCCATGCTGTGCCCTACCCAGTGCTGCTGTTGCAGGGGTGGCACTGCATGGTGCCAGCACAGCACCGCTCAGTATGGCACATATATAGCCTGGCTGGAAGCTACTGTGCTGAGCCCTGGAGCAGTGGGGAGGGGGCACAACCCTGTCACCACACACCTGCCCACTGCCAGCGCAAAGAGAGCCCCCGAGAGCAGCACACACCGAGGAGCCTGCAGCCATGCGTGTCCGAGCAGCAAAGGAACACGGATTCAGCCCAGTGCTGGTCCCTAATGCCTCCCACTGGGAACCAGCCATGTGCCAAGGGGTGTAGCACAGAGCTGGGGCCCTGACCCCGTCACAGCATTCAAGGAGGACACCAAGACGCTCCTCCAAGCTGCACAGCCTCAGCACATCCTGCAGGGTGGCTGCTTGCTGCTGCAACAGGTCTGCAGCACGGTGCTGTGGTGGGACCCACTGTGCCTGCAGCAGGACCCAGAGCTGTGACAGGGAGGCTGATGGGAGCATCCACCCTGGTGCTCGCTGCCTTGGAGAAGGGCAATGCAGCAGGGCCATGTGGCACAGATGGGCTTGGCAAAGCCCTGGCAGCGGCAGGAGGGTCCTCACATGGCCACACATGCCCCCCGGCACCCAGGGACCACGGGCCATGCCCAGCACAGCTCATCCGCGTGACAGCCACAACGTCCCCGCTTCGATCCAGCCGTTTGCTCATGCTAATGACTATCAACATGAAACAGGGGCCGTGAAGGGGAAGAAAATTACTCCCTGAAAAGGAATTGACTGATCCCCGTCATTTCTCAAGGAATCACTGACCTGTGAATATTTCATTACCCAAAATGCTGCGCCATCCATACAAAGCAGTGCCTGGCCCCCAGCAGGCTCCAGCCACAGAGCCCCAGGCTGCAGCATAGGGTCGGGGCGCTCGCGTTGGGGGCCTCTGGATTCCAGGAGGTACAAGCCCTGTGTGCCACAGGGGACAGCAGCAGTTGCTTCTCCTCTCATCCTCTCCAGAACGGGGCCATTGCAGCCCCATGGAACTGGGGAGGGACAATGGGGGAATCGCCCCCGCCGGAAGGAGCCGTAAAGGGAGGTGAGGAGCTGCGGAGGCCGGAGGTAGCAGCCGCTGTGCTTAATGTCTTCATTAAGGAGGAGGCAGGGAGGGGTGGGAGCTTGCTAATGGCATCTGCCAGTGATGCTCAAGTGGGAAGCTCTGCAAAGAGCAGCAGGGCTGGAGAGAACAGGCAGGACCCGAGGGGCAGGACTGATGGTGCAAGAGGAGGAGGAACTGGGGGAAGGCAGGGCAGCCTGCTAGCATGGGAAAAAGACCATTTGCTGGGCTGCCACACACTGTCCCAGCACCTTCTGCCCCCTTTTCCTTGCTGCTCCTGTCCCCCAGCAGAGCTCAGTGGCCAGTGCACTGCCAGGGCTGGACACTGCTTCCCTCTACCTGCAGGAGCCCAGGAGGACCTGGTGGCCATGCAAAGGCCGTCAGGAGCAGAGATGAGATGCCAGCCCAGGCAGCAGGCACAGCCCATGTCCCATTGTCACCTCCCACGTGGGGCCAGGGGGGAGCAGGGTCCGGCCCCAGCTTCCGGCTCCACCAGCTGGAAACTTCGAAGCTGAGGCCACATGAAATATTCATGAAGTAAATGGTGCAATTTCATCTGCATTCAGCCAACTTCATGTATATTTCAGAGTATTATGAAATGATAATGTTGTGTAACCGAGGCGAGACGGGGGTGCTGGGGGGGCTCCCAGCCACCCCCACGTGCTCACGGCTGACACGGTGCAGGTAACTGTGACAGAGACGGGACAGGATCAGGCCCGCAGCCAGCGGGAGGACACACAGCGCTGCTCCATCCCAGCACTGCCAGTGGTGCCAGGGCTCACCCACAGCAGCTCCCAGCCCCGAGCACACGCTGCTGATGGCACAGCCAGGCCACCCCTGTCACAGCTCTTCTCCCCGCAGCAGCGCAGCCCTGCTGCGCACAGTGCTGGCCAGGGTTCCCAGCAACGCTTGGTTCCCATAGGCCACGAAACGGTTTGGGATGGGCGGACACACGAGGCACAAGCTCAGCTGCAAAGCAAAGGGATGGCAATGGGCTGGAGAGGACCCAAATCCTCACAGCATCTGCCTGAGCTACCTGCTCCTGCTGAGCCCTGCAGTCACCAGAGTCACCGCCATGCACTGCACGGCTCTGTGCATCAGGGTGACCAAAAGCCACACCAGAGACTGGCCTGTCTGCTGCTGCCAGTGGTGCCAGGAGGCAGCCACTGTCACCTCACCTCTGCCAGGAGCTGGGGGCACTGGAGAGCCCTGGCAAGGGCCGCATCCACCAGCCTCATGCTTCAGCCGTGGGCATGACACCGGCTCCAGCCGCATGCGTGCATCCTGCTCCACAACTCATGGG